GAAACTCCGTCTCAAAAAAAAAAAAAAAAAAAAAAGCAAATTTCACTGCGTAACTACATTCATTATGTAAATAGTTATATCCTTGCTGTGATCACAAGTATGTCAAAGACATAATCATTTTATATAGGACCTGAATTTCTTGGGTTCTTAATTCTGAAAAATATTTCTTAGAAAGAATGCTAGTATGACTAGTGACAAAATGTTGCTGCAGAATTTATGTACTATAAATTATGTATTAATTCGCCACTCTGAATTTAGAAACTCACTAAATAAATATTAACAAAGGCAGACATTATAGAGTTTTAGCTAATTGTCAGAATGTTTTCGTCTTGTAGGTGAGTCTTACTTTGTCTTTTGGGCTATGCCACTAAACCAGTGCTGTCTAAGAAAATTCACAATAGTGGAAACATTCTGTATTAGCACTGTCCGGTATGCTAACCACTAGCCACACATGGCTGTTGAGCACTTGAAAGATGTATGACTAATTGACTTAGGTACTGAATTCTTAATTATATCTAATTTTAGTTAGTTTATCTTTAAGTATAAATAGTAACGTGACTAGTATCCTATGGGACAGAACAGTTGCAGACCACAGTATTGATAAAATATGTTAAAATAAGATCTTTCTGAAACTTTTGGGAACCGAATGGTTTTGGGCGTGATTTCCCAGCTGATTATACACTGACAGAGATTTTTTTTCAGAATGGCATTCATTAGTACCAGAGAAATTTAGCAAAGTATATTTAGGTGCTTATTGTAAAATATATTGGATATTTGATTTAATGTTTGTTATGCACACGCAAATCTGAAAGTTTATATTTAAAGCATTTTCAGTTCTGTAAGACTTATTAAGAGTTATTTATACTGAAACAAAAGAAAATCTATAAATAAATAAATAAGTAGCACAAATAAGCACATGCGTGTGTATAATATTGAAGTGGTAGCTTTTAATTTCCTAAGAGAATAAGCTTTTGAGGCCCAACGGAAATCATAGAAGTTTTCATACTCATAAATAAATATTCCAAATTGCCCCATTAGCTGTTGAATCTTCGTGTTACCAGGGGAGGGGGAATCAGGTAATGTGTAGAATGGGAAAAACAGGTTATATGATTGTATCTGCTTCTCTGTCAGAAGAAAGGGACTTGTGTGAGAGAATATAGATGGATGCTCCTTGTAGAAAAATAAGCATCTTTTTCTAAGGGGTTGTGGTTTCTAGAAATCATTGGTTGGGGACACAGTATGTACATTAGTCCAAAGGATTGCTCCTATTGATACTAATTCCTACAGAAACTACTGGTATTCACTGAACTGCTTATAACCTACCACCTCATGCTCTATTTTTATATCTGACCTATTGGATTCTATTATAATATGTTACTCATAGCATTGCTTTATCTTGCCTTTTCCCCAGTTTTCCATTATTTACCTCTGAAGTTACGTTTTCTTTGATCTTTCTGGTTCACTCTTGTTTGTAAAGACCATTCTATAATTTACTTAAAACAATAGTAAACACATAGTAGACACTCACGGTGTATGGACTGTTGTTCTAATTATTTGCCATCCCAGTAAATCTTTTGAAGGTTCTTACTGGACAACAGTTTGTGAGGCTCATTTAAGGTTACCTTTCATTAGGAAAACTGTTTCTTTGTAGAAGGTCTGTAAATAGGTATCTATATATTTAAGACATGAATTAACTTCTAATTCCAGGTATGACAGACTAAGACCTTTCTAGATAATATTTCCTGCAGAAAACAACTATAAAATCTGAATGTTATGGAAAGGGCAACTATTTGAAGACACTGGAGAGTAAATAGAAGCAGCAAACAGAATCTGGTTGGACGTTCATGCTAGTCTGCAGATGGGAGAAAGGGGAGCTATGAAAATAAATTTTATCCCCATGGCTTTTAGCTCAGGGCTAAGTGCAGTCCCTGCAGCCCACGAGAGGCAAGCATGGGAAAACCTGAAGTCTTTATGAACTGGAGAATCAGAAAAGTGCAGCCAGAAAACTTGGAACACTGAAGAGAATGGAGGAAGTGCAAGAATAAAAAAATCAAGTGAGGGGATTTCCAAATTCAGTCCACCTGTATCTCAGACTGGGAGATACGTGATTCCATGATCAAACTGACCACACCCCAGTGAAACAAAAAAATATAAGCAGAGACCAGAGCTGCTACACAAGAGAAAGTCTATAGTTAAAGCTCAGCCAAGAAACTTATATACTGAAAACAAAGGAAACAGTATTTATGGGAGAAAAATGACAGTATCCAGAATCTCCAGAATAAAGCCGGTGATATAATCCAACTTTACCTAGCATACACAGCACTAAATCAATCTAGTTTAAGATATTGGAACCAAGGGATAAGGATTTTAAATGAGCTATTATAATCATCTTCAGTTAAGTAAAACAAAATACATTTTAAATGCATGAACATCTTGGCAGAGAAATAGTAAGTCCTAGTAGTGACAATAATAAAAAACCAAAGGGAAATCCTAAAACTGAAAAATGCAATTTCAGGAAACAACAAAAAAATTTATTCAATATACTTACTAGCCAAATGGACATGAGAAAAGAAAGAATATGTAAACTTAAAGAAAAATAAATCAAAATTATTCAAAGTGAAGAACATAAAAACGTTTAAAAGCAAAAAAGCCTCACAAACATGTTAGATTATATCACATGTTCAAACATACATGTAATTGGAATATTAGATGGGTAAGAAGAGAGAAAGAATGGGTCAGAAAAAATATTTGAAGAAACATTGTCCCAAAATTTTACAGATACAAGATGCTAAATGAATAGCAAGAAGGGGAAGCATAAAGAAATGTCCAGCAGGTTATGCTATAGTCAAATATTTTTTTGAAAACCATAATAGACATATTGTATAAAAGGGACCAATAATCTGATTAACAACTGATGTCCCATTAAAAAGCTATGGTGGCTAAAAGAGAGTTAAACAATACCTTGAAGGTACAAAAGAAAAAGAAATACTGTCTATGAAGAATTTTATATCCAGTAAAAACATCATTTGAGAATGAAAGTGAAATTAAGATACTTTTAGATAAAAAGAACAAAAAAACTAAGAATTTGTCACAAGGGACATACAAGAATTCCTAAAGGAAGTTATTCAAACTGAAGAGAAATGATTACACAAGAAAACTTACATCTTTAGAAAAGAGTGAAGAGCACTGCTAATGGAGTCTACCTGTGGAAATTCAAAAGATAATATTTTTCTTTATCCACTTACTTTCTTTATAAACCATAAAGCTGTTTAACACTGAAATCATAGCATAGTCTTCCTGGAGTTCATAATTTATGTAGATGTATTATATATAAAAACTGTCACAAAGTATGTGGGGAGGGTATGGATGTATAATGTTGCAAGATTTCTGTATAGCAAGGTATCTGTATAGCAGTGATAAATATTGTAATCCATAGAATGACCATGAAAAATAATACAAATGACTTTAATTCTTTAGCCAACAGGAATATTAAATTAGAAATCTAAAAATATATTCATATAATTACAAAAGGCAGTAAAGGGAGAACCAAGGAGGGAAAACAGAAAATATAACAGTAGGTGGAAACTCAGTTAATAATTACATTAGATGGTAATGGACTAAACTCTCTAATGGCAGAGACTGTCAGAATGGATTAAAAATAAAGCCCACACTAAAAAACAAACAAAAAGACACACTTTAAATATAAAAAAATCAACTGGGCATGGTGGTTCACACTTGTAATCCTAGCACTTTGGGAGGCTGAGGTGGGAGGACTGCTTGAACCCAGAAGAACTCAAGCCTGGGCAATACGGCGAAACCCCGTCTCTACTAAAAATACAAAAATTAACCAGATGTGGTGGCTTGTACCTGTAGTCCCAGTTACTCGGAATGCTGAGGGAGGAAGACTGCTTGAACCCTGAAGGTTGAGGCTGCAGTGAGCTGTGATTGCACCATTGCACTGCAGCCTGGGCGACAGAGCGAGACCCTGTCGCAAAAAAAAAAAAGAAAACAAAAAAAACCCCAACAATTGTGCTGGAGATCCTAGCATTTGTCTTAAGAAATATAAAGCATATGGATTGGAAAAGAAGTTAAGTTGTCCTTAATTGCAGATGATACTGCAAATCCTAAGGACTCCACAAGTAAGCTTCTAGAAGTAATAAATATGTTTAGCAAACTCCTAGAATATAAAGTCAGTATACAAAAATCAATAATAATGAACAATTTGAAAATGAAAAAATTTAAAAAGCTTTACTTAAAATAACGTCAATTTGTTTTTAGAAATTTAACAGATAATTTATAGACTTGTACGCTGAAAATATTAAAGCCTAGAAAGGGAATTAAAGACTATGTAAATAAATAATGAGATATACCGCGTACATATATTAGAAAACTCAATATTGTAAAGATGGCAGTCTTCTCCAAATATGTAGATTCAGTATAATCCCAATCAAAACTGTAGCAACATATTTTTTGAAGCTATTTAGAAGTTTATTTTAAAATTGATACAAAAAGCAAAAGATTCATGATAGCCAAAACAGTTTTGAAAAACAGGCTTAGAGGATTTTTATACCTGATTTCACAAAAACTTACTCTAAAGCTACAGTAATTCATAAAGTATGGTACTGACCTAACAGTAGATATATAGATCAGTGCAACAGAAATAGACACACTTACATGGACAACTGATTTTTGAAAAGGGCACTAAGGCACTTCATTAGAAAAAAATAGTTATTTTTAACAAATACTGCTAGATAAGGGTATGAAAAGAAAAAGCCTCAACCCCTTCTTCATACTATACACAAGAATATAAATAAACATTGTTTATAAGACCTAAAGAAGCTCTAAAACTATGAAACTTCTTGGAAAAACTAGGAAAAAATCTGTGTGACATTTGGGTTAGGCATATGCGTCTTTGAAAAGATACAAAAACATGAAGCATAAAAGAAAATATTGATAAAATGGGCTTCCTGGTAGTTAACATTTGCTAAAGGAACAGAAAAATGAAAAGGCATGTCAGACCAAGAGAAATTTTTGCAAACCAGATTGAGAAAGTGCATGTTTACACAAAGTGTAAACAACTCTTACAACTCAATAAGAAACCCGCTTAAAAAATGGGAAGAGATTTTTATCAGATATCTGCATTGTAAAAGAAGATATGAGAATGGCTAATTAGCACGAGAAGATGTTTGACGTCACTGTCATCAGGGAAGTGCACTTGAAGAGCACATTGCCATACTTCTGCGCAACCACTAGAATGGCTAGTTAAAAGGACTGATGGTATTAAGAATTGGCAAGTTTGTGGAATCTTTTAGTGTGCTCCACCTTCCATAGCAAAATATTGTAGACTGGGCTGCTGAAAAACAGAAATTTATTTCTCACAGTTCTAGAGACTAGAAAGTCCAAGATCAAGGTGGTGGCCAATTCATTTTCTGGCAAGGTCACCCTTCCTGGCTTGTAGGTGGTGGTTTTCTGCCTGCGTCTTCACATGGCCTTTCCTTTGATCATGTAGAAGGAGATAGCAGTAAGCTCTCTAGTGTCTCTTCTTTGTTTTTTTTTTTTGAGATGGAGTTTTGCTTTTGCTGCCCAGGCTGGAGTGAAATGGTGCAATCTTGGCTCACAGCAACTTCCGCCTCCTGGGTTCAAGCTATTCTCCTGTCTTAGCCACCCAAGTAGCTGGGATTACAGGCGTGAACCACCACGCCCGGCCCTAGTGTCTCTTCTTAAAATGGCAGTAATGCCATTGTACCAGGGACCCACCTTCATGACCTCATCTAAAGCTGATTTTATCTCCCAAAAGCCCCATCTCCAAATATGATCACATTGGGGGTTAGGGCTTCAACTTAAGGGAAAACACAAATATTTAGTCCATGACATGGAACAGCTAGAATTCATGTGCATTATTTGTAGAAATGAAAACAGTACAGCTATTTTAGAAAACAATGTGGAAGTACCTTATAAGGTTAAAAACATATCTGATATATGAATTAGAAAGTCTAGTTATTTACCCGAGAGAAGTGAAAATAATATATGTCTAGATAAGGACCTTCACATGAATGTTCATAGTGACGTTGTTCAAATAGCTCAAAACTGGAATCCAAATGTTAATTGAATAAGTAAAGAGATTGTACTGCATTCATACGGCTAAATACAATGAAGCAATAAAACATCACAAAGTACCACGAGACTCAACATGGATCAATCTCAAAAGCATTCTAAGTAAAACACATCAAACACAAAAGATTATATACTATGTTATTCCATTTATATGAAATTTTAGAAAAGGCAAAAACTATAGTGAAAGAAAGCAAGTAATGGGTTAAGGGTGTGGGAAGGGGATAAGGGCAAAGGGTATGAGGACATTTTTAATGGGGAAGAAACTCTTCTCTATATTATGGTGCTGGATGCAAGATTGTATGCAATTACTAAATTCATCCAACTGTACTTAAAAAGAGTGAATGTAATTTATCTATAAATAATACCTAATGAAAATAGAAGAAAAATGGATTATTTGTAAAACCTAGAGAAAATAAAATGTATTAATTATTAAATTGGCATATAAAATTAGTTCATGTTTTATTCCACAGTGTTACAACTATTTTCACTTAAGACTCTCTGACACATGTAAATAATTTCTCATTCTTATATCTCAAATGGTAGAGGAAGAGGAATAATAAATGTTCATTTATGCTTACATGCATGTATAGTCATGTTCATACATAATTTCTATGACTGTTAATGAAATATATTTTATAACTTACTATTAAAGTTTTTAATTTATTGGCTCATAGAAAACATTGTAACATTTTTTCAAATGCCTATAATAAGTATGTATGATTACCTCTAAATTAAATTTATTTTCATCAATAGAATCATCACACACAAGAAGCTGACTAACTGGCTTTTCATATCTTATTCTTATCCTTCTCATTTATGCTCTTGTGTGAAGGTTTTTATAAATGCTTTGGCTTTGTTGTATGAATAGAGTACTATCTATACGGTGAAATGTTTACCGAGCCTAATAGAAAATTGTATTGATTTTTGAATGAGGATTTAGGCTGTTGCTAATTTGTATAAGAAAAGTAAATGAGCAAAAATATAAATAACTTTACATTGCTCTGCTGCTACATGAACACAGCACGGCATACCTTACATACAACAGAGTGTAATATCTTTATCTAAAATCTCAAGTTTTGCAACTAAAAATAATGACTTGTGAGAAAGAAATTCTGGAGAACTCTCTCCTGATAATTCTTAAGATTGATAGATGTTAGTGTGCCTTGTAAATGCACACAGGTAAATGTTTCTTTGGTTCCTTTGAGATTTGAGTTCTTTGCTTGATGTGCTAGAATTTGTAAATGCAATATGGAAACCCTCTGAAGGCTAAGTATCTGAGTGAAAACTCATCAAATACTTTGGTTAATTTGAAGATGTAACATTTGCAAGATGATCTCTAGAACAATGTAACAAGCCTTTTTCTTTTTCAGTTGGAATCAACAGGACTCGGCCTTAGTAGTAGTAGACTACGAACAACTCTAAACAGAATACAGGAAAGCCTTATTGATCTAGTAAGTAATAAATTGGAATCAATTCTTTTGGAGTATATAAAATGGAAACTAGCTATTCAATTAACTTCATATAAATGTGTATCTATATGTGTACTGAGTAGCTGAGTCCTCAGAATTAAATGAGTGCATATAGGAAGTAAAACAGAGGTTGCTTATAGTCTGATCAGAGAGAAACTAATATACATGAAAGAATGTGATATTGGGCATACATCAAACACAAGTTCAAAGAGGAGAAAGGCTTATGTGAAAAACTAATATTAGAGGAGGACTAAAGGAAGAAGTGACACTTGTGCTAGACTTCAAAAATCAGGCATAGGATTAATGGGAAAGAGAAAAGTCTTTGAATTAAGGTATACAGGATGAGCAAAGGTCTTGAGGTGGGTACAGCCCAAAGTTTGACAGATCTTAGGATTGGGACACTGGTCTATGCTGCAGAGTTAGGTTGCAGACAGTGTTTGAGATACTTTATAAATGGCTTTGAAATTCAAGGAGAGTTCGGGTTTAATTTGCTGTGTAGTAGGGAGCCTAGTTCTTGATGGTTGTCACAGGATAAAATGCATGTTTTAAGAAGATAGGTTAGACAGCAACACAGGGTTAGCCTATAGTGTTTCAACTAACGCAAGCATTTAACATGAGAAAAACTTTTTTCCTGTGGTTGGTCACTGTAGCCAGTAATTTATGTTGTTCAGACGTTTCTCTGCATCTACCTTAATCCCAGGCTTCTCTGAATTTTCCTTTATTCCTTCAACCTAACGCAAACAAGCAATCATTTTCTTCCTTTTTCATAAGCTCTGTATTATGTGCATACTTCTGTTATTGAAGCTTTTATAAAACCATGATTATTAATTCTTTTAAGAAATTCTTATTGCAACAATTGTCATATGAGAGGCATTGTTATAGGGCTGGGAATTCATCAGTGCACAGAAGAGATATTTCCTGTCTTGGAAATTTTATTTTTTTGGAGCAGAAAGACAAACAAATGTATAATATGAGTACTCAGATGAAACTGAAGCAGAGTGATAGGATGGGGATTTTAAACAGAGATGTCAATAAAGTGAGAGAGGCATGTGCTGATATCTCAGGTGAGTGCTGCTTGGGCAGAGGAAATAACTGCTATCCTTCTTTCTTAACATCACATTTAAAAAAAATATAGTCATATCACTTACCTTGGCACATAGCATTGCTTCAGTAAATGTTCATAGAGTAGATGAACATACTCCAGTATCTGAGTTTCTTGTTTCTTGGCTTAACTGGACTTATTTTTCTTGATTTTGATATTTCTTTAATCCTTGATCTTCAATTTTAGAATCAAGGCTCCTTATTTGACCCAGCCTTTTTGTTTTTGTTTTTTGTTTGTTTGTTTGTTTTTAGTCTTTGTTTTGTAAAATCCATCAGCTTTCAGCCCCACTTGCAATTTTCTGTGTTTCCATTTTTATTCTTCTTATTTGATACTTAAGTATAACCTTGAGTTTGAGATCTTACTCTCCACATCTTAGTCCACAGCTAAAGTTTTTCTTGTTTCTGACTGAAAGACCCAAGAAGTATGATGGGCCAAATTTTACCACTAGACTCATTCACTCTGGCATTTCTGTGTCATCCCTGCTAGCTACTGTCTTGTGATCATCAAACTCCAGTTCTAGAGTTGACCCTTAAGATGTGAATTTCTGCTTCAGGTTTTGCCACATGGTGTATAATGAATTATTACTCATACCGATAAACATTGGTTTGTTATTTTAGAAAATATATTTGTCATTTACTAGACCTTGCTTGATCTCAGGATTTTTTAAGCTGGTATGTATTAATTTTCTTCACTTCATTAATTTGCATTTACATTGACAGAGTACATTAATTGTAAATTAATCATTTACATTGACAGAATACAGTAATTTCTTCCTGCTCAATACATTCTTTGGCTATTAAAATAATTTATAGCTTAATCAATCTGAAACCAACTAGATTAAAGTAATATTTTTCCTTATATTTCTCTTGCATGTCAGTTAAAATCTTAATAAATACTTTTTGGTAATTTTATTTTCTCCATATAGATATTCTAAGTTTTACTTCTCTTTAAGCTATAAAAGGCAAAATGGAATCACTGTGGTCTTAAAATGGCCACCTGAAATAACTTATCATATACATTCAGTGTAAACTAAAAAAATTTGTTTGTCACATCAAATAAAAGTTTAAGAAAAGCTGTCTAACAGGAAAAGTAAGAAAGGAAGCTGGTATATGTCATAGTGACAGCAGAAATGTGAATTTTTAGTTACCCATTTGGTAATACTAACTAAATTCTTTACTTTAAGACCTTTAGCCAACTTTTTTATTTTGACTGATTTATTGATTTATTTTTGAGACAGAGTCTTGCTCTTTCACCCGGGCTGGAGTGCAGTGGCACGATCTCAGCTTACTGCAACTTCCATCTCCCAGGTTCAAACAATTCTCCTGCCTCAGCCTCCCGAGTAACTGGAATTACAGGTGCCCACCACCATGCCTGGCTAGTTTTTGTATTTTCAGTAGAGATGGGTTCGCCTTGTTGGCCAGGTTGGTCTCAAACTCCTGACCTCAGATTATCCTCCCACCTCAGCCTCCCAAAGTGCTAGAGTTACAGGCATTAGCCATTGTGCCTGGCCCTTTAGCCAACTTTAAATCTTTGACAATAAAAAGTACTTTAAATTTGTCCAGAAAAATTCATAAATATGAACCTTCTTTGGAGTAGTACCTTGGTGGCAGGAAAGGCTAAAAAATGTGACTTTCACCATGAGAATAAAGGTGGTTAAGATTTCATTTCTCAGTCTTTAAAGGGTTATATCCTTTACTTATTGTACTCATGTAAACTGAAACACCTAGTTTAGGAGCTTTTTAAGTATGCAGTAAGCACATACCATTTATTTATGTCAGCTTGACATTTTCATGACTGTCTTGTTCTCTTCAAGTGTGTTTTTCTAAACATAAACACAGAACTTTAGTTTTTCAGCAAATAATTATCAGAAATTTTATGCCTCAAATGCCATGCATACAACTGAGAACAAAGGAAGATATTTTAATGAAAACCTCTTGAATTGGGGGCAGCAATTCCAGTGATCTAAAGAACACTTTTGTGAAAGAGCTCCCTGAGTAGAAGGGACCTCAACACATTTGTGTTGGAGGCACTAAGGAGGTAGTTAGGTAAGTACTTTTGGCTCCTCTTGTCATAGAGAGAGAACTGTATTCTCTCAGGCTGTAGATATTCCCTCTCCTTGCTTTCCATTATTTTCTAGAGTTACCTCCCTGTTCTATTCCTAATTAACTAGTTAGTATCTAAAATCAGAGAAACTTATAGTTTTATAAATATGTTGTGTATGTGATATCTAATCAGAAAGAATGAAATGCAAAAGTAACTGCTGTGGTTAAGTGTGTGGTATTCATGGGATCCTTGAGCTATTTTGAGTTTGAGATTGTACAATATTGTTAGAAAGTTCATATCAGATTTAGTTTAATTATAAAATATTTTATAAAGAGAAGTGTTTGATGCTTAGAAGGAGTTTTGTTATACTATTGAAGCATAATCTTCCAAGTTTTTACTCATAGAAGGAAACTTATCTGTGCTTATTTAATCTGTATAGCATTCCTGCATACCTAGTAAATGTCAGCTTCTGCTTGAACATCTCCAGTGTTGTTTTTTGGGAACTCAACCACCCAAAGCAGCCCTTCTTGCCTTAAGTCTGCCTGATAGAAAGTGCTTTGTTATGATGTAGCCAAATATGCTTCTCTCTTGAACTATTTTCTGTTATTTCTATTTCTGCCTCTTTTGGACCACTTTGACTGGCCTAGCCATTTTGCACAAGTGATTCATTTCTTCTCCCTGTTGCTTTATTCGGTTTACATGTTTCAGAGTTTTAGGTCTCCTCACCAGTCTTTGACTTGTTCTGAAATAGGTGTTTACAATGTGAACCAAGAAGAAAATTGAGAGCACTGTAACAGGTATTGGAAGCAGACAGAAAACTAGGAGCTATGTGATGAGGGTGCAGGATGGGATACAAGATAGTTGGATAGCTATCTTTATTACTAATTCATTCGACAAAACATATTGCATGCCTAGGTACTTTGTGGTAGACTGATGGTCCCCAGAGTGGAGGAGGCAGTTAAGGAATAAAGATCTAATTTAACATCAGATTATGTTGAGATCAATGAAGAACTAGGTGAGGACAGAGAGAGAAAGGGTGCAATTTTATTTGGGCAGTTAGAGAAGATCCCTCTGGGAAGGAACACTGAAGCAGATCCCTAAAGGAAGTAGGAGAGTGGGTCACCCTTATTCAACAAATGTTTATTTCTTATCTGTTTGTTGAACACTATATATGGTGCCAAGCACTATTATAGGAATTAAGGATATAATTGTAGGGGAAGGTGGGGAAGCCAGACAAAACTCCCTACTTATGCGGAGTTTATTTTCTAGTGGGGGAAGATATTTTGGGGAAAAGTGTTTTAGGCTAGAGTCAGTTATAAACAGGTAATATCATGGCAACAGGTTTAGGTTTTTTCCTAGAAGGAATGGATTGAAGCTTTAAAACCAAAGAGTGTTATGATCACATCTCTGAGAAAGTTCACATCACTTTTGTAGAAAAATTGAGCCACTTAACTATGTGGAAACTGGCATAAAAATAGGAGAGGCTAAAGACAGCTCTATTCGTGGACTTTAGAATAGTCCAGTCAAGACTGCTAAGGAGCCTGCAACCTGTTTAAATAACATCAGGAAGGAACAAACAAGAGAGATGTCTGTTTAGGCATGTTTTACTGATTAGATGTGGAAGGTGAGGAAGAAGGGGAGTCATGAATGACTCTTCGGTTCCTTACTTGGTTCTTATCAGTAACTACCAGAATTAAATAGCATAGACAACCTATTGATGCCAAACAGTATTTGATTTTGTGAATTCTTATATTCCCTTGCTCCCCCCCAATGGAGTAGGGTTATTTCCTTTTTAGAGGGAAATGAATAATGGAGATATGACATTGATTAACTTGCATGGTTCCATGATCCTATTTCTCCCTAGAGGAAGCACAATTATTCCCAAACTAACTTTTAAATGCTAATTGAGTAATTAGAGATTGAAGAGAGATACTGTCTTTAGAAGAAGATGGGAAATAAAAAAAGAACTAGAGAATTAAACCATTTTCTAACTTGAAAGATTTTGTGATTTTTATTTGCATTTTGCTAAATTTATAGGACTAAATTGTACTCCTAGAGACTTATACATTTGATGTCTCATTTATTCATATGGAAAATAATTGGAGATTTGTTACTATAAAGTTGCTTTAAAAAGTAATGTAGCTTTATATTTTGTACACTTTTAGATTTGTTTACATCCAACTTTTGTGCTAAATTTTGACTGTCTTTTAAAGCTGTTTTATTTGAATTTAAACATTTAGTTGTGCTATCTGCCTGCTTACATGTTCTCACCTTTAAACTCCATAATAGAGATAATCATGGAGTGTTTTCCATACTGAAAGTAGTACGTATACTGCTGGGGCTGTATTATATAATGTTTAGCATCTCTTCTAACTCTGTCATCCTATGATTCAATCAACATTTAAAAACTTTGAGTGGGGGCAGGGGTTAATTGTATTCAGGTTAACTTTAAAAAACATAACAGCACTTTTATACTATGAGCTATTGCTTAACTTACATCGCTTTTATTCTATTTTTTTCTCTTTGTAAATTTATCTTATGGAACTTTTTTCAAAATGTAATGAATGTAGTTTGTGGTCATGTCATTACTGCAAAACTCTATACTTAACCAAAAGTATAATGTCCATTTGTAATTCAAGCTCATTGTTATTAGAAATATATTGGTTATAAAAGTTATTAATGGCCTTCACAGTGAAGTGACTCTAGATTATACTGTCATCAGCGATGTTAAGATTCCTGCAGTGTCACTACGTCTACCTCTCTCCTTTGTGCCCCAGAAAAGAACAATTAAAACTCTCTTTCTCTAAGGTGTAATGCAGCAACTATTCAAATAACTGTTATGATGATGTCAGTATTCAAAACAGCCTTCTTTTATGTTTGCTGTACAAAGGGAAACTTATTCACCGAAATGTATCTTTATTGAAATATTTGGAGTTATTGGTAACTCTTGAACTGGCAGTCTTCTGCTACTTTGTCAGCCACTCCAAGTAGGCAGCCTAGCACATCTTTATCCACAATCTCAATATACTTCCACCCTCCTGGAAGAAAAAAGGTAGCCAGTGTGCCAGTGAGTTGAATTTTTTGTTAACTGTTTGCTAAGAGCTTAGAAACAATTGAGTCCCTTGCTATCTACTGAGAAGTTGAGTAAGTGTATCTTTGAAACTCTTCCTTTGCCAACCTGTTTGTTTATATTATAGGATATGTTTTTATAAAGTCCAAGAATGTACATAACTCATATCCAAGGCGCTCCTGGCCTGGCATGAGAATACCTAGAAAAGTAAATTAGTAATGAGAAGATTTCTAGTGACTATATCATCAGGTGAAAGTAAAACTGAGAAATTTGAAGTCTGATGAGTTATCCTGACCACAAATTAGACTGCGTCACTCCTGTTGACTACATGGCTATGTACCTGAATCCATAGTTCTCTCCTGGATGGTGCTGAAGGGACCAGCACCCCCTGCTTCCCGGGTATCCCTTTCCTTTGTTCACATTGACTGTCTTCCTTCTTATCAGTAGTCTGTCCCCAGACATATATAGTACAGTTGGCTCTTTTCCAGTTTATAACTTCATTCTAGTCCTGCCTTTTTGAGATGATATACCAAGGTAACCTTGATTAAAATTTGGGTGTGAGATGGTTAATCAAACCATAATTTTGGATTTTATCGGTGTGGTTCTCAAGGGGTAATCATATTTCTCTCATTAACAAGTTCTTGAGGCCCATCTCAGTATTGTCTCTATGAAACATCTGTCAATTCATAAAGAGTCCTTGTGTTGGCAGACTTTAGGTCATGCACAGATGGTGGCATATAGAGTTGGATGATATTATATAGGCTTATTCTCACTTAGGATTAAAAAGGAGGTTCCAATAGTTACAAAACATGAAAGCAGGATAAAAAGAACTGAAACTAAATGTAATTAATGTATGCCCCAAGAGTATTTTAATTGTAGTTCTATTTTTGTCAAAATCAGGTGGTTTATTACTGTTAGATTTGCTATTCCAGGTTGTATGTGTATTCTATTTTCAGGAAGTTTCAGCTGATCCTACTGCCACGCTCACAGCAGCAGAAGAAAGAAAGGAGAAGGTGCCAAGTCCACACCTTAGTCACTTAGTGGTTTTGACATCTGGGGATACACTGTATGGGTTGGCAGAAAGAGTGGTAGCCACGGAATCCTTGTAAGTTGTTCAGAACAGTTGCACTGCCATTAAATATTTAAGAAAGTTTATGAAAGTAAGCATTGTTTAATTAGACTTCTAATTAGCTGCATACATCTACGACTTCTAGATATCACTTATATGTTTCTGAGAAGTATATTCTAACACAGATTACCAGTTGATTTTTTAAACTGCATGGTTGGTTTTCAGTTATAGAAATGGAGAGAAGGAAACCTTTTAATTTTAGTCTTTAACAACATGATCCTTGCTTTAAGTACAACTTTAAAAAGCATTATACTATGCTTCATATTTTCCCAGAGAAAATGATTCATGATCCTAGAGAAGCTGTATTTACAGTGTCAGTTTAGTGTTAAGTGTAGTCGACCCTTGACATCAATAAGAATGTTTCCTGGCCTTTATAAATCCCCAAAGTTATTAATACAGTTAATGCATATGACTTCTTCTACAATTCTATAAAATGTAGTCCAAACCTAAGAGTTTTTGCATTAATAACAAAAAAACAGAAAAAGACAGTGCCCAGTTGCAGTGCATCTGCAGGCAGTAGTTCAGACTCCTTCACCAGCCCAATGACTCCCATTCCTGAACCCAGCCTCCAGTACTTGTCATTCATTTGTAATACTCAGCCAAGTTACAGTTTGTTGCCTGTTAGGAATGTTCAGGTTACTTCTGAAAAGTGTCAGATGTTAAATCTGAGCTTTCAAGAGTCTGTAATTAAATCCTTTAAAAAATACCCTTGTATTCTTTTTCAACCTGCTACTCTGGGCTCACATCTTACAGTTGAAGTATATGACTCTACACCTCATCGTAACTTGCTTGGCTCCTTTGAAGTTGCTCTTCTTTATCTCAACTTCCATTCAGTCATAAACTCAGCATTATTTATTGTTTAGATTGTAAATGAACATGTCAAATGGTAGTACAGAGTCATTCACTAAAGTGAAAAGTAATTTTAATTGTTAAAAGTTTTGCTCAGAAATGTTAAAAAATACTTATACAAAAACATGACAGTCTCTAAATCCCACACAGTTTGTTTACACAGTGGGTTATTTATTTCCTTTAGGGTATTCTTGGCTGAACAGTTTGAGTTCCTTCAGCCACATCTGGATGCTGTGATGCCTGCAGTCAAAAAGCCCTTTCTTCAGCAGTTTTATTCTCAGGTCAGAGATGGTCTTGTATGTCATTTCAACTGTGAGCAAGATAGGACTGTCACAGATTATTTACATTTTTTGTTTTTAAACTATAAGTTAGTCTTCAAAGCCCAGGAGAGCCAGATAGAATATTCATTTGTTCACTCATGAGTTCCTGCATTACATACATAATATTGAGTAGCTCATGTAACTTTTAGACTAGTGAGAGAGAGAACACCAGTTAAAACTATTAAAATAAAGCATGATAAGTGCTGTGGTAAGGGGAAAGTGCCATGACAATGTTTTTAACCCAGACTGAAGGAGAGAGGCTCTGGGTGGGAGAAGGTCATCTAGAAAGGCTGTCTAGAGGAAGTAATGTTTAAACTGGACCGGCAAGGTAGAGAGGGTGAATGAGGGATGGATTCCAGACAGGGAATGGCATGTGTGAAGACCTGAAGGTGAGAAAGAGCATAGTGTGTGCCAGCAGCTGAGGAAAGCTCAGCTTGTTAGAGCAGGGAGGGGGGCTGGGGATGAAAAAGATGGCTGGGGCAATCCGCAGGGGCCACTACCATATAAAGCACCCCGCTTCAGGAGTTGGACTTTTATTTGGAGGGCATGGAGGCTCCTGGAGGGTTTGAAACAGGTGAGTGGCATGGTCAGGTGTGTGTTTTAGAAATGCAAAGAAAAGATTGTAGATGGCAGTCCTAGAGACGGATAAACTCATTTGAAGGCTGCTACAGTATTGCAGGGGAGAGATGATGGAATCCTGACATCATATAGTGGGAGTGGAAATGGAGAGAAATGGAAGAATATGAGAAGTAATTGCTAGGCTCCATGAAAAGCTCTAGTTCTTTTACAGTTGCAATGTCAATGGCCTCAAGTTTATTGAATGTCTCCAAATTATGTTTTGAGTAAGGCCTTTGCCCTCACTCAAATATCTAAAATATTTTCATAATTTAAATCTCCAAATATATAGTGTTTTATTTTCAGATATGTATACTGGAAATGGGCAAATATTCTTTATCAATATGATACTTTTAGAAAATAATTGTTTTCATTTCTGTGAAATTTATTTCAGACAGTCTCAACTGCCAGTGAACTACGCAAACCAATTTACTGGATTGTAGCTGGTAAAGCCATTGATTATGAACAGATGCTGCTCCTAATGGCTAATGTGAAATGGGATGTAAAAGAAATTATGTCACAGCACAACGTATATGTAGATGCACTGTTAAAGGCAAGTGTTCTGGGAAATACCTTTGCTAAAGAGCAGTCCACTAAGAGAAGTGTTCTTTTATTGCAGTGGCTCTAAAATATAAGATTATAGTTATTACCACATTTCTAGCATTGTGGTATTAAAGCCCCTGAATTGAAATAGGCTTACTTTCTGAATTTGTCTTCTATTAGATCTAAGAATGCGTCATAGATTTTTTGGCTTTGATCACTAATTTCCCATTTTGAGTTGTATGTTGTGGCTGACTTTCATATTATATAATCTCAGTAGCCATCCCTATAATGACAAGAAGATAGTTCTGTTTAATTAGAAATGATTTCTGTAGTTTAGCATAATATTCATTAGCAAGAGACCATGCCTCTGATTATTCCGAGTAGAAATCACACTACTTTTGCAGTGTGTGGTACAAACAGCCCTTTGCAACCAGTGACCTGTGTTCATAAGTTTCCTGGAAAGAACTGTGGTTCTTTTTTTTTCATTTATGCATGAATAGATAGCTGTAGATCCCCTGACATGTGTCACACACTGATAGAAGTCCTGGGAGTATAGCTGTAAATTCAGGAACTTATGTGCCCTCAAGGAATTTACATTCCAGGTCAGAGATAGCAGTAAACAGATAAACTGAGATAAAATGTCAGATGATGAATAATGCTGTGAAAAAAACCAAGATCATGTGAAGAGTGAGAGAGAATGCCAGGATGTGGGTGGAAGAGGAATACCATTTATTTGTGGTGCTCAGAGAAGGACCCTGATGAGGTGAGACTGGAGATGAGGCCTGAGGGATTAAGGAAATAAGCTGTGGAAAGAGCATCTAAGAAAATGAAAGCAACTTTAAGAAAAAAATTTGTTTTCATTTTTGTCAATGAAAAGAAAATTGTCCCTTTATAAACTCCTTTTCTTACCTGCTTAGATCAAGTCAACAAACAAGAGCCTAGGACATCTGAGAACCAGTGAACAGAGTCATAGATTTAACATGGAGATGGTAATGGAGTTCTTCAGTCACCCAACTCCCTGCAATTTATGGTCCTCTTCTGGGAGGCCTAGGTTGAGAATTCCTTATCTAAAATGCTTGGGGCCAGAAGTATTTTTGGACTCTAGATTTTTTTCCTGTTTCGGAATATTTGCATTATACCTACTGGCTGAGCATCCCAAATCTGCAAATCCCAAATCAGAGTTCTGAAATGCTTCAATGAGCAATGCCTTTGAGTGTCATGCTGGAGCTCAAGAAGTATGTATTCATACTGTGTGTATTAGAAAAGGTGAACACATGTTAGTCTTGTTAAATATTGTGTAGCTTCTCTATTCAGGTAACTATAAAGAAAAAATCTCATTTTAAGGCTTCTTATATTTGAAATATACTGCCAGGGAAGAGTCAACAGCATTTACTTCCATAAATGAGTATATTTATATAGTAATAGTCCAAAGAGACCAAAAACACATTCACTGAAGGCTAAGCCTTCTGCTGTTCCCATCTTATTATTCGAGTTGTCTGTTTAGTACGATCATGTCATAAAAGTTAGTAAAAATATTTAGTTTTTCTGTAGGTAATAGAATCTATTTTATGTTTCATTTTTTCTTTGGTACTAAAAACTTGCAGTTAGAATATGATTTTTTAATCATTTGGTATTCAGGTTGAGCATCCCAAATTTGAAAATCCAATATTGGAAATACTCCAGAAGCTAAGACTTCTTGAGCTCCAGCATGACACTCAAAGGAATTGCTCATTGAAGCATTTCAGAACTCTGATTTGGGATTTGCAGACTTGGGATGCTCAACCAGTAGGTATAATGCAAATATTCCGAAACAGGAAAAAAATCTAAAGTCCAAAAATACTTCTGGCCCCAAGCATTTTAGATAAGGAATTCTCAACCCATATAATTATTTATTTTTAAAAAATGTTTAGGAAATATGATTATTTATTAGATTGCACTCTGGGGTGTATAGCTACAAATTACAAATAGTTCTGAACTGAAAGCATATCAAACCATGTTTTTAAACCTGGGTTTCTTGAAGATATTTTTAAAGCCAAATTAGGTCATTCAGCCCTATTAATCTATACTGACAACCACAGGAAACTTTTGAGACATTTCGACATTGTTATCATTGTTTAATCAGTTAATGACACTTCTTTTGCAATAAAATGCAGTATACTCTGTATTATAATATAACCTACTCAAACTATTGCATATATGTTTTTAAGATCCTCACACTATTCTGAGTTTCTAAATCTTTATTATTTAAACTGTTTTTATGGGCAAGCATTGTGGCATTTTAATGATATTCACAAATGGCTACTATTTATCTTCTTAGGAATTTGAGCAGTTTAACAGGAGGCTAAATGAAGTTTCTAAGAGAGTTCGAATACCCTTGCCTGTGTCTAATATACTTTGGGAACACTGTATACGATTGGCTAATAGAACTATTGTAGAAGGGTAAGTTTTTCATGAAATCATTATTTGTTTCTTAGATGACAAATTGTAATACATGAATAACATATGGTATCACTAATGATTGGAGAGAATAAATAGAAATAATGGTAACTAGCAGACAAGTTTGAGATAAAATTAGAGAAGAAATCTTAGACCCCACTGTTTCTGTTTCTGTCTCTGCTTTCTTTTCTTGCTGGTGGCATGGAACCAGCTAGTAGATGAGTGAGGAATACAGAATCTAATGGTTATCTGAAAGTTAAACTAATAATTATTATTCCTTAATAATAAAATTATGATGATGATGATGGTATATCTAACATTTTTTGAGCATTAACTATGTGTTATTTAGTGAACCAAACATTTCACAGGATTATATCATCAAACCTGAAATAACTTTTCTTTGGTAGGTAATATGATTCTATTTCATCAATGAGAAAACCTAGGCTCAGAAAACTGAGGGTAAAGAGGTTAGGTAACTCATCTAAGTTCACCTAGTTTTTAAAGACATATTTACTCCTGATTTCTCTTTCTTTTTCTTTTTTTTTTGAGATGGAGTCTTGCTCTGTTGCCCAGACTGGAGTGCAGTGGTGTGATCTGGGCTCACTGCAGCCTCTGCCTTCTGGGCTTAAGCAATTCTTGTGCCTCAGCCTCCTGAGTAGCTGGGAATACAGGTGTGCGCCACCATGCCTGCTAATTTTTTGTATTTTTAGTAGAGATGGGATTCCATCATGTTGGCCAAGCTGTTCTTGAACTCTCAAGTTGATCTGTCCACCTCAGCCTCCCAAAGTGCTGGGATTACAGGTGTGAGCCACCATGCCCATTTGTACTCCTGGTTTCTGATGGCAAAATCAGCCCTCATAACACTTATATCATCATTAATAATCACCATCATATCATTGTAAATTGTATAAATCTTTCATGTATTGAAGTTATAGGTCTAGTAATAGTAATTTTCCCTCTTACTCAGAGACCATGCTTAGTCTGCCCATAACATCAAGGATACAAATAAGAATCAGTAATACATCTGAAATATCCCTGAAAAGCAAACAGCTATTTCAAAGACTCTGCACGGTGCACTAGAATTGCACATCAACTGAATTTTGACACTATCATTTGTCTGGTTTTTCCTGTGCTCTCATTTTTTTATACAAAAGAGTGAATTAGTAAGTGGTAAGGTAACAGTGACAAGTTGACAACAGTCGTGGCACTCTGTATTGAAACCAACAGTGCTATGAATTATAAAACAGCTCTGTGTCAACAATCACGAATGAAGAGTATTTTAAATAAATTTTGTTTAATAAAGTAGAAATATGAATAATATATGTAATATTTCTGTATAAAATGCTCTTTGTTTTTAAAAAAGCTTGGTCACTTTAAATAAAATAAGCTTTCATTTTCTTGCAATGAAATGCAAGAATTTTCCTTAGGATAAGTGCCTCATTCCCTACGGTTAAATTTTCTATGTTCTGTATGATTGATTAAAGGAATGAAACACTGACTTAGAGAATAATAAAGTGATATACTGTTAGGGTTAGTATATTTGTTTTTATTACTAGTTTACCTTGAAACACACTGTGTTTCAGTAGTGTAGAATGTTAGGATAACTCTACAAACTTTTTGTCATGTGAAATACATATATACTTTCTATGCTTGATTTTTACACATTACGTTTTCAAAGTGTTCATGGGAGAATTGTTTGTTTCTTTTGCATTGAATACTTACAATATTGAACAGTTTTATAAAACTAAGATTACTTTGTAGTATTCAAAGCTTAGTTTTATAAAATAACTCTTGGCAGCCAGATCAACTGGAATACCAGCTTAACTTTCTTGCAGACAATTATGTTAATTGAATATAGAAACCTGTCGTCTGTAGAACAACAAAGAGCCTTGAACTCATTTGATCTCTTTGCAGATGAGAAAACTGAGGCCCACATAGGTAAAATGACAGGGCACAAACACAACCCGGTCTTTCTGACTCAAGGCTTATCTTCTCCATTTCCTGTAATCCTCTTATTTCTGGGGAATCTATTCAAATATAGGTTAGAGAAAACTTCAAATACCTGACAGTTTTTTGTTTCTAATTATCCTATAATGTATTTTTTTATTGTTTTGCATCTTAGATATGCCAATGTCAAGAAGTGCAGTAATGAGGGTCGTGCCTTGATGCAATTGGATTTTCAACAGTTTTTAATGAAACTTGAAAAACTAACAGATATTAGACCCATTCCTGATAAAGAATTTGTGGAGACTTATATTAAAGCCTACTACCTAACTGAGAATGACATGGAACGCTGGATCAAAGAGCACAGGGTGAGAGCTGGAAAACAGTTAATTAAGTTTTTATTCCTTTGTGCTGTTCTTGTCAGGTATGTTATTTAATTCAAAATCATGAGAGTAAAATAGAAAGAAATATTTGCTGTTTTAATACAAATTATTTAGGTCATTCTTTACGATATTCAGATTAAGGGCACTGTATCTAAGCAGTGCCCTTTGACTTATCAAATCTTTTTCAGCCCTTTGTGAACTGTTACTGTAATCACCTAGAAATACAGCCAAAGTCAGAACATTACCTGTATTTTTCCTGCAACTGTATTATAGGAAAAGGCTGAAGCTGATAAATACTAAGACAGATTAAATACAGAAACCATGAAATGATTCATAAGCCATAATCTATTATGTAACTTAAAACTTCTCATACAAACCTTCTGGTACTTCTCAACAGTGAAGTGGTAACATCCTACACACTGACATGTTTTAGTGATGATTGGAGACATTAATATTTAAATGGCTAAATTTAACTTGCATCTTACATTAGATTTTACCTTTAATATAGATTCTTCTTTTATATGACTGTATAGATAAAGAAAAATACTATTGTTATGTAGGATGCCAAATTTTTGACACAGTTCAACTCAGTGTGCTTGGTATGGGAAGTTTTTCTGTTTATGGCACATGTTAAAATCATCACCAAATCCTCATTGCTTTAATAACCTAGGGTTCACATTTACTTAACCTATGAACATCATGAGTAAAAGCCAAATCAACTTTTATTTCATTTGGCTAAGAAAATAAAGAATTATTTGTATTTGTATAAACCTGCTCAGGCTCATCCTTTCTGGTTTCAACACTGTAAAGAGATAAAGTGAACATTAGCCTAGAGCATTCACGTTGGCCTGAATTTTGTGTGAATGTTCCCACTCTTAGTCAGTTTTGGATCTTTAGAAGCAAAGCAGGAATGTGCATGTTATTTTAAATGAGTTTGGCCAATAAACCAGATTGAGAAAACCTTCACCACGTTTAGCCCCACTGACATTTGAGAACTGAAATGTTAAACCTAGATGCAGATGGACTGCTGAATGCTGCTAGAATCCATTTAGTAAAGTAAGCTGTCAACATTTCTGGGTTGGTACTGAGGAAAGGATTTGGGAAAAGAGTACAAAGTAGCTGGGGAGAAAAGGCACAGCTCTAAATACACATTATTTGAGGCAAAAATGATGCCCATTTTTGGATTTCCTCTTTTAATACAGTGGAATGATTTTTTTTTTAGCTTAATACTTTGAAAGAGCTTTAACTGATTGATATTTGTAATTCAGTGACATTTTCCCAGCAGCAGCAGGGACTCTTTCCTGTCTTTGAAGGAAATTCCCCACAATGATGAGTCCAGTGATCACTGACGGTGGATCCTTACTGAGTGCTGAATGGTTAAATAAGATTACTTTACCAAGTAGGGACAGGTGCTCTCAGAGATCAGGTATACAAACTGAGCAGTTTGCTAGGTTTTTAAAATCAATTATTTCTCCTTTTCTGAAATTGTACTATCTTTATTTAGTGGTTACCTTCAATGAAGACAGGTTTTCCTTTCTTATTTGATAATAGTACACAGCTGTCTTTCCCTATCTGAACTGTTGCTGTTCAACCTCCAGTACCAAATCAATCGACAGAAATTTATGATGAATCCCTGTTTATTCTCATCCTAGCAATTCAGTATCTGAAATTCAGGAACCAGACAGATTTGGATAGCAAAAGATACTCGTACTCTTAATTTTATTTGCAGATCCCAATTACAATTAAAAGAACTCACTTTCTGATCCTTGTTACCTTATTCATTTGTTGTATCTTAGAAGAGTTGTTCTGTTGTTGAAGATTTTTTTTTAACTGAAGTGTTGATAAAACGTACAGTGCCAGAAAAATACTTCCATCAGTAGCATTTTAAAAATTTGAAATGTCAGTGTATTTTGATAACACAATAACGAAGACTATCACAGAAACAAGTATAAATTGTGATCGTCAAAGTAATAAGCATATGCATGTCAGAGTAACTTTGCTGTATTGAAACAGATTCTAGTGTTTACTGTTTCAAATGTGTGCTATAGTATCCTTATTCTCTCCTATTACAGCTCAGTAAACAATTTGTTTTCCAGGTCCCAACTGTAATTTCCACTGGTTTTATTGGTTTATAGTGCTAACTATCCACTGCACCTGAATATCCACTTGTTCTTTTGTTGCACTGATAAAATATATTCCTTTTAGGGTACTAAATTTGGATCTTTCTTCTTTGAGCAGGAATATTCAACGAAGCAGCTGACCAATCTGGTGAATGTTTGCCTGGGATCCCATATCAATAAGAAAGCAAGACAAAAACTTCTAGCAGCTATAGATGATATAGACAGACCTAAAAGATAATGAACACAGCTCTTTTTCCTCAATGGCATTGATCCTCTCTCAAAATATACGACCTGAAAGCCAGTTTTTTATGCACTTCTGATAACTATCTGCTAAGAAGACTTTGTGCATGGTTTATTCGACTGGAAAGTGGAAAACATTGAAATGTGTGTGATGTTCTCTTGACTTTTATATGCTGTGGTCTCTTCAACTTTTGGTCTCATTTGTTGTAATCTGAAATGATACTGTTGCCTTGTTATAACAATGGTTATGTGACTACAGATAGACATTTACAGAAGAATGTACCATAAGTATATAATTAGAAGAACAGTGGCTTAATATATCTATGGGAAGTTTATGGAGAATGAAGTTGGCATTTTTCTACCCACTGAGCTTGGTTCTTAATAAGCATATGAGGGTGAATGTGTAGTATCTCCTAATTATGAGGACTGCATGAGAATTTAAAAGTACATGTAAGTAAAATAGTTGAAAAATCAGTATGTTCTCTGTTTTTAAAATGTCAAAGTTTATGTCAGGGTTAATTTAGTTATAACAAAGTCATCATAAATGATGAAATTTAATAAATATAGTATGATCAGCCTATGTGAGACTACGTTTTGATTTTTTATGTGGCATGCAGATATCATAAAACTATAGTGCAGTTTTTAGCGTGTTTTAATTTTAATTGCATTCTGAAACCAATGGTGAAAAGTAATTTCACTGAGTGTACCTTTTCAATGCCTGAGTAGCATAAAGGATCTTAATTATGAGATTTTCTTTTATCTTTCTTTATAAAATATGGGATTTTTTTGGTTGAAAGTTTTGGTGTCTTTAATTTCAGATTTTGCCTTAGAACAGCAAAACCTAGGTTGACTGACTCAGGAAACAGTTGTCTGCTAGTCAAGCATAAATGTATAGTCATATGTTCACTCTTCTTAAATACCTGCTTTTGTAAAAGAAATGTAAAATAATTTCAGTCTAGCCAATGATGAACTCTAGAATCCACTTAGTGAGTATGTGCTGTTCCTCTAAACTTTGCCCTGAAGCCAGGGATCTTCCCCTAATATATGTGACATGAAAATCCATGTTCCATGTACTCTAATTAACTATCTGATAAGGAATTTTGTATGTATTCTTTCTGACTAGGGAGTGGAAAACATCTAAGCTTGTGTGGTGTTGGTTCAATAATTGCCATGCATGACCTGTAAGAGCAGCAGCTCACAGAATCCTAAAGAATCACATGAGAAACAGGCCTTGTGTCTTGTGAGTCTTCTCAGACCTAAGGTGGTAAAGTAGATGGCACAGGATGGCACGTGATCAAGCATGGAGGTGATAAGGAAACAACTGCTACTCTATGCCCATCATTTCCTATGCATGTCTGTAACGGCACAGTGTAATGTGAAGCACTTTCAGAATATGTTTATGTGTGTTTGTATGCTGAGTGTGTTCTTTTCATCCTCTCACTTCACAGTTCATTTACTGTCAATTTAAAACTTTCCTCTTGTAAAAAGGTATGAGTTTGGTGCCATTATGATCTACTTGTGGCACTAGATTATGTACTTGTGAAGTAGATTCTGCCTGTAGCCATTATCTATATGCAGCCACTTGAAGAAAAAAACATGAGATAAGCTTGGTCCTTGAGTTTAAATGACATATTTAGCTGGGCACATAAAGAGCTAGTCAATCTTTTTTTTATTTTTCAATTGATGACTGGGGAGTGGAAAACATCTAAGCTTGTGTGGTGTTGGTTCAATAATTGCTGCTTATTTTTCTTTTCTACGTGGATTTTATAGTCGGTTTCCTTTATTTTCTACTTTAGTTGGCCCTAGATAATATAAACAGCAATTACCTGCCTGGTAGAGCCCAGTGTTTTCCAAGGTAATAGGAACTGATACAAAATAATTACTCGACCGACCATGCAATTTGACAGACCTTTTAACCTACCCTTACTTTGCTTTCCCCATATTCAAAATAAAATGGTAAATCTTTTTAATGCTTTTTGAAAAAAGACTTTTTTTTTTGCATTAAAAAGTAGTTTAATAAGTGCTAGCTAGCATCAAAACAGTAACAGATTTGAGTCATGAAATTACCTAAAAACAAGAGTTACCAGACATTTCTCAAATATATAGCAATATTGAATGATAACCATATAGCATTTTGTGAAACTAATTTTAAGATATATGGAATTGAAAAGCTAAGAATGCAAATGGAATTATACATGTTCCAAAAACTATATTATCAAAAATTTCTTCTTTTTGAGTCTAAACTTTCCTTAACTTTGACATTTTATAGGAAAGTGGCCTTTAGAATTCAAGATTTTAAGTTGAGATGAGAGCATGGTAAATTAGAATTTCCAGAGAAAGAATGATTCTATTCTACAAATACATTATCTTGCATTTAAAAATGCTAGGGAGATACAAAGCCATTCAAATGAACTAGTTTGCTTTGGTTTATAGAACCAACAGAGATGTTGCAAGTTCACTTTAACTAATAAACTCATTTACACAACTTAAGAAATGAATTTCTCTTGAAACCAGGGCCATATGGTCCTAAAATAGAATTTTTTTGGAAATTTCTATTTAGTTGAGTGCTAAAGTGAAACTTTGTTAAATAGCTTTTTCTTTACTCAGTGAAACGTAGTAAAAGGCTTGTAATTCAATTTGCTTTGTAAGCATAGTTATCTTTTGTAATAAAAAATTAGATCTGAAGATGAATTGATGAATACAAGTTGTGCTCAAAGCACATAGTAGAACAGGGTGGGGGGATTTCCATATATGTGTGTGTGTGTGTGTGTGTGTGTGTGTGTGTGTGTGTGTGTGTGTGTGTGTTTGTGTGTATATATATTATATATATATATATATATATATATATTCTCTGGAGTAATTTTTATTCAGATTTGTGATTAACAAAATGATATTTAGCTTCTGACAATGATTAATGACAAAAGAATTATTAATACTCTGGTGTAATCTTTGTAAATGTTACGACTGGTGCAGCTTTCTATAGATTTTTTTTTATTGTGGAAAATATTTGTTCAATTCCTATCATCCACAGATTTGTAAAGGCCATGAAAAAGTTTAAGTTGCACAGCTCTCACAAGGACAAAACTGTGTCAGATTTATATAAAAGAGAACTATTAGCTGTTTCAAAATGAATGGAGAAAATAATTCATTCTCTTTGATATGCTTTTCTTGATTGGCACATCCTTTTTGAATATTGCTAAGTATACCTGGATCATTTTCTTCAACTTGTAAACAAAACCACCACTAAATATTTTCCTTTACTTAGAAGGATCCCTTTGGAATTTTGGTAATTTATTGATATGATTAATATAGAACTCTTTTTGGTCTGTTTTTGAGTAAAAAAACATTTTTATAAGTTAATTTAGACATCACTGTTTGATCCCAAGACTGAGAAGACTTGGCCCTGCTCAGGATTTCCAGATTTGCCCTGTAGGTATTTTTTCACACTGAGCTGAGTCTTTCCATCCAGGAAAGGGATTTTCTTGATCAGCAGTTTTTGTTTTACTCCATTCCTTCCCAATCCTTGCTTGGTCTCTTCATTCTGCTATCAGTACCAAAAGGATTTCTGCTTTAAAGAAAAGGCATTTCCATAATGTGGGCATTTTAAGTCAGCTACACCAAATAGCAAGCATGCTAATCTTCACCCAAAAAGAAAGGACGTTATAGTCAAGGTTTCCATTTTGACACTGCTCAATACTAGGAAGAACCCACACTAAAGCTTAGTGACACCATCAGGTAACCACTGGGAGACCATTTTTGCTGGCTACCTGCTATCTGCCTTCCCTTACTTCTGTCATCCCTGCTTTCCTAATCACAATCCCACCTTTAAGCACCCAACCAAAATAATATCCTTTCTGTGAAACTTAACCTTCTCAAGGAGAGATGCTGTGGAGAAAAATCAATAGGGAATGGTGGTGGTCACGATGGTAGTACAACTTTAACAAGGATGGTGGCAGAAGGCTTCCCTTGGGAGGAAGGGAAGAGGCTTGCCATGCAGATGTCTGAGTGAGTGTTGCAGGCTGAGGGAATGGTAAGTGCAAAGGCCCCAGGGTGGAGGCTGCCGTTCAGAGAACAGCAAGGAGGGCAGTGTGGATGGCATAGTAAGCAGGAGTGGGTAACAGCAGAAAGGATGTGGCAGGAGGGGACACATACAGGGAAGGACTTTGGATTTCACCTTCAGATGGAAGCATTTGAAGGGCTGCGAATCAAGTGATGACCTGATTTGTGACTTAGGTTTTACCAAAACCACTCTGTGTGTTTGAGAAAGGGCTATAGAGGGACAACAAGCAAAGCAAGGAAACAAGGTAGAAGCTAAATTTGGTAAACCGTGCGAGGCATGATGGTGGCTAGGATTGCAGTAGCACTGTAGGCTATGGTGAGGGGTGGCCAGATGCTGGGCATATTTTGAAGGTAGAATCAATATGATTGATATTTGAGAAAAGAGTGTGCTTAAAGACTTTATGGAGGAAGTAGAAGTCTTTGGGAAGATTGGATTTGTGAACAAAATCAAGAAAACTTACAAACATGGGACAGTAAGAATTTTTTTAAAGGCACTTGTTTATTCAGGGTGAACACGATCTTCAAATTTCTTTGCTAGATGTTGGTTTCCTGTAGTTAATACTTTTGTACCACCTGATTGCCTTGTGACAAAATAAACTTAGCTATGAAAGAAAAACTGTCTGTGTAGCCATAAAGCCAAACATTTGCTTC